CGAATCCGAATCGAGTCCAGGCAGATTCTCTGATGTTTCGCGCTGCTTTTCAAGAACCCCCCTGGCGACCCACCAGCCCACCTGCATATTCATCAGGCCACCACTTCCTCCGCCACTCCCCTCCCAGCCCGGCTAGAACCCGTGGCAAAATATCTATGAGTGCATCCATTATCCTTAATACACTTACGTGCACTAATGTGCTCCACATTAATGTGGGGCTGCTTGAAAATTTTAGGTTTTCCGTTTGCTTCAATGTCTGTTTGTCTGTTTGTCTGTCTGTTGCTGTTTCGTTTTCTGTTTCTGTTCCGTCGGTTTGCTGTTCCCTGTTCCCTGTTCCCTGTTCCCTATTCCCTGTTCCTGTTCCTCTTCCTGTCCCGCCCCCAAACAGCCACGCCCCCATCCTTGCATCACAGCAACAATAACAACGCCACCATATGAGGTCCTTTGTTGGCTGAGAGCACGAGGTCTCCTGGGCAACACGTTGGATATCCGTTTCTATTTTCCATTTCCATTTTTCCCCGTTTCCATCGGCTAGCATGCAATCACGCCCCGAGGCGGACTCGCAGCCAGTGGGCGGGGCCATCTAAACACCGCCTGAATATTTAAAGTTATACTAGACTTAGCTCCCAGGCCATGCTAATTAATGTTGTTGTTGCGTTTCTGTGTTGCGGCTTTCAAATTAGCTTCGGAATATTATTTGCCAGCCTTTGGGCTTTTGATTTTTGGGGTTTTCTTGTTTTTAACGTATGCCTCCGTTTAGCCAAAAATGAGCCTCATCGCTGAAAACAACTTTCACAGGACAAGAATTTTGATAATAAATTTCAATTGTTCTTCGTCTGTAAGTCTTTCCATGATGGAATGGCAGAGCATACTGAGAACTTCTCACTTTGACAGATGACCTTTGGATGCCATTGCCAACCAGCGCTGCCAGAAAGAAAAACTTAACTCTTAAAAAATCACCTTATATATATAGATTTATCAGCAAGAATGTTAAGTTGTTTTAACACATAAAAAATTGAAAATTTAGTACAAATTTAATTAATTTCATTTCTAGCAAGAAAATGTTTTTCTGCAGGGTGGCCCATATAGCGTTGGCTTTTTGAACTATGGATAATTCTCGAATGTCATTGTCAATGTGTCAGATATTTAGTAGAAGGTTTGCGGTTTACGAAATGGTTAAGTTTATTTTATAACGATTGCCTTCGTAAAACACTCAATCTGATTTGGGAATAATAAAATTAGCCCTGTTAATAAGCCTACAAAGCCGGTTTGATAGTCGCAATGCCAATACGTAAAGGGAAATATTTAATAAATAAATTAATTAATAAACGAATTCAATGCTCGGAGGGAGTTTCGCAGTGTTTGTCGTTGCAATTTCAAGGCAAACAAAATACAAAGCAGGACATGCAGCAGCACAGCATCGTGGCGTTAAAAAAGCGCTGTTTGCCTTTGTTTATTTGTTAATTTCTGGTTGTTGCAAATGGCAAACAAACTAAATGCTTAAACGATTTAAACACGACGCGGGTAGATTTCAATTGCGAAAAAAGGCAGCCTAAAGCGGTGAGTAAATAAGCAAATTCAGGCGGGTAAACAAGCGGCAAAGGCTGCAGAAGGGCAAAAAGCGGCAAAAGGGGCAAATGAAAACGAAAGATGGAAAAAAGCGAGCGGCAAGAATGAACGACGGGTCAAATTTTATGCAGGCGCAAATATTTTAAATGTTAACAATAAAACATGCGCACAGTAAATAAATGCACATGTGAGTGTAAACAGACTGCAGGAGTTCAAACACACACACACTCTGGCAAACAAACCAACGGCGGAGCCTAAAAGTATGCAATAACCCCCAGGAATAACCCCTGGAGAAGCCCTCGCGAAACCCCTTCGCCACATTCAAACAGAAACCGCTTAAAACACTTTACTATCGCATTTTGGAATTGTTCAAATATTTTCGCCCTTCTTCTTTTTGCGTCGCTTGTTGCTGTGTTGCTGGGTTGCTGTTGCTGTTGCTGCATTTTTTCTAGCCCTCTACTTCCCTCACCCTCTCTCTGCCTATCTCTCTCTCTCTCACACACAAATACAAACAATTAAAATCCTCAAATATTTGCGCCAACTGCAAAAAACAAATGTGAACTGGCTGTGTAAAGAAAGAAGTACGAGAAAACAAAAAACGAAAACAAGAAAATGGCAGCGGGAAAACGCCTGGAAAAGCGGGCACGTTGACCATTGAAGTTGGTCAGCAATTTTTACAGATATAAATAAAAATTCGCTGCTGCTTTCGTTTTTTCCCAACAACTCTCCTTTGTCCGCCTCGACTTTTTTGTTTTTCCACCTCTTTTCGGTGGATCTTATAGTTCTCTTTTTTACTTTCATGCACTTACTGCTGTTACACGTGTAGTTTTGTGATTAATTTGTCTGGGAATGACAGTTGCACTTCACATTTACATTCTCCCCCTGCGTATGCGTGATTTTCATATTTTATTACGCATACGCACTGTTGGACTGGCCATAAGTTTGCCCTTTTATAAAGAAAGCTGTTTTTCATGACTGAATTTTGACTTTTTGACCACTTCTATGTGCATATTATTGAGTTTAGTTATATTTTCAGGTATTTATATGGCTGGTGGGGACATTTTGAATATTATTTTAGGTAATTAATAAACATATAGACTAAGAAGATATGAAGCTTGTACGCACATAGCTAGCTCTTTTATTTCTTATATATATTTTGATAATTTTAATCTCTGTAACTGAAACCCCGCTCTGGCCTTAATGCAGTTTCATTTCCATTTAAGTTTAAGAATTGTTGGCCTTTTTAGTAAAAGTATTTTCAGTGACCTAATTTGAAGAGGAGGAGGTCTAAGATTTATTTAATTTTCTAAATATATTTTACTTATACTTTTCTGGCTGTGAACCTTCGCTTGACCGTAAATACAAATTGATATTTGGAGAAATTACATACACGGCATGAAATCAAATTAGGCTCGTTGCAGGCTGACCAAATTGACTGACTGACTTCTTTGGCCAGTCGATATTTGCAAATTGTTTCCACATCCAAACATATTTTTCACCGATTCGTTATTTGTTTGCCTGCCCGACTGGAGTGGGTTCAATGTTAATAATTTGGGCTAATCGATTTCTCTGGCCAGCTTGCAGGTGGCAACTTGCATTGAAAACTTTGCATTTCCTGGGTCCATCAATGCCACACAAAAAGCCATCGCATGTAGCCCAGAAATATGTCAGATATATATGCATAAATATATATATATATATGTATTTAAATGGGGATGTGGTATGTAGATGCGGATGCGGATGGAGGAGCATTAGCCGGAGAGTTTTGCATTTGACGTCGTCACGTGGCTTGCTGTTGGATTGCTGGATTACTGGAGCCACCAGTTGTCCTGCTCGCTCCTCTGGCCACAGTTTCCTTGCCTTGCCCTGGCTTTCCCGCTTTCCCGCTTTTCCACAGGAAAAGGGAGACGACATCAAATCATTAGCAGTGCATAAAGCGTGAAACCAGGCACAGACATGCAGATGAATTTAAACTATTAGCAGTGGCAAGAGGAAAGAATGGAGCGAACCGACTCTGCCAACAATGTTGGACTCTCATCCGCCTGCAAGGTGCATCCATCGTTAGGCAGCTGGATTCGGTTGGGTTTCTCTAGCTTATCCTTACACTGGAAAAAAGTGCTTACTATCTCAGGGGATATGACATACTCTTTTAAGGTATTTAACATATAACTGGTACTTGTTAGTGAACTGAATTTAAATTTAGTGTGGTTGGAATTGACCTTTTCTGGGTCTTCGGCTTCTTAGGGCCAGGAGTATATTCTCATAGCCAGTACCAGTACCCTTTTACCCCAGTGCAGCTGAAAGCTTCTCTACCCCGCTTAGTTCCCATGGCAATGCTCGTCCTCATTCCGCTTCTGGATCTGGTCCTGGTTCTGGTTCTGGTTCTGGTTGACATAACCCTGCACATTGTTATAAACGCAATCTTCGCTTCCTCCCTTGGCCTTTATTTGTGTCGTGTGAATATAAAAGATGCAAATGCAAAGATATTTTTTCCATTTTCCATTTTCATTTTAGGCTGGAAGGAGGTGGAGGCGGGAGTCGGCAGACGGGAAGACGGGAAGACGGGATGCGAGTCGGATACGGATTCTGTGCTGAGTTGCGGTGAGTGCAACGTTCTGGGGCAACATTGTCACACAGTCTCATTCATTGTGTGCGAGAGCGATGCTGTGCTGTGCAATATAAATAACTCGGCCGGGGCTGTGTGCATATTTTGTAACTGCTCGTCCAACTTAAAATAAATACAAAATGTTAGTTAGTTCCCCTGCTGTTGGCAACCATCATTTGACCAATGCAAAAGACACACACAATCCAAAATATTTGCACAGTTCGTGTTTGTGTTTGTATTTTGTATTTCGTATTTTGTATTTTGTATATATTCTTAACGAAACAAATCGAGCTCAATGCTCAAATTTTGATCCTCACTTTTCCGCCCAGCTTTCATTTTGCACTTGTGGTTTTTCATAATCGCCATGGCATGTGTGGGGCAAAATTTGCATTGACACATTCACTCGGAAGTTGGAATACTATTTTAGAAATAAATTTAACATTCAGCAAAAAGTTTTAAATGCCCAAAACTTTATGAGTCACTAATTCCTTTAAAGGCTTAGGCTGACTAAAAGGTCTTTGGTTCTTGAATAGTAAATACGGCATTAGGCTCTAAAGAGGTAAATTACTGGCTGAAAGGTATGGGATTAAGTGCTTAGTTTTTATGGTACAAAGCACACTTTTTATCCGCCTTTAAACTTTACCAGCAGTCGTCAGAAGAAAAGCACTTACTAGCTCTGAAAGAACTTCCAGAATTTAGTCTATCTTACAGCTGAAAATTGAAAAGTTAAGCAAAATGCAGCGAGGGTTGGGAATGATACCCTGCAGTGGACTTACCATTCAGTTGATAATTGATTGAAAGCCTTTTGGGTTTCCATAGGTATTCTTTATTTATTTTCGCTTTTTTCTTTCTCTTTTTTTGGTTTTTTCGATTGCGCGTTTTTGAATATTCTGTTGTATAATCAGATTTTACAGTACAAACATTTGTTTCGCTCATTTCTTATGTACATAAACACAAATCCAACTAAATGCTATTATCGTTACTTTATTTTTGTTGTTCGGGAATCATGGAATTTCATGGAATCATATTACGCAGCAAACTCTCGTTTTCGTTTTTGGGTTTTACATTTTGAAATTGTTGGATATTCTCATTGCATATGTACTCGTAGTTGTCAAATATTTGAATATTCTTTCGTTTATGGTTTATCTTTGTATGGCTGTAGCGTAGACATTGAATGCTTTATGACTTGAATGGTTTTCTGGCTTAGTTTGTTAATTCTTAGTTTGTTACTATAGTTTAGTTTGCCTGTCTTTCTCCCCCTGCAGTTTCCACTAAATCGTAGTTTTCTTCTTTCCCTTTCTTTTTCTTGTTCTTTCCTAACAACGCGATCGCCCGGGGTTCCATTTAGATGAATAAACTATTTTCCTTTGCCTTACACGTGTAGTTTAAACGTAACTTTGATTTGCTAGGCGATTACGTTACTCTCGTACCCGCAAAAAAAATATTCCCTATATTTAATTAAGTTTATTTATTTATATTCTCATTATATTTAAAATGCATGTTTATTCGCCCCTCTCCATACATTTGCTTCCTTGGTACGTATATGAGTCAGAGTACATCTGAGTAGACAGCTTTCGAGTGACCTCTACTAGCTGGATCTGGGGGAGCGGAACTGGATATGCGGATTATACATATGTCTGGGTATTACTGTACTTTGTATTTCGGATATCAACACACACGCATCTTATCTCGGTTGGGTATTTACCTCTGCTTCTGCTTCCGCCACACTTCTTTACTGCGAGTTGCTTTTAATGCTTTTGGCACATTTATTTCTGCTTTTCTGTTTTCTGTTTTCTGTTTCTGCTTTTCGATTCCCCTTTCCTTTGATTTACACTATATTTAAACATGGAATTGAGCTGAACACGCACACATGAGTATTACATAAACACATACATACGTGGGGCTATGGTTGGTTTCGGTGTGTGTGTGAGTCTGCCTGCACCAGATCTCAAGATCTTAAAACCGAATATTCAATATCCATATTTAAGCTCTTGAGATTCTCGTATGAAGTATGAAAGCGAAACTTAACTTGAACTCTACTCAGATTTGGATGTTACCTAAAAGTATGCAATCAAGTACTATATGGCCAATATCAAGCTATAGAATCTATAGCATAACTTTCAGCTGAGTTAAATTTCTTCTAAAGTTTGTTCCACCCCTGAGGTGTATTTTCCCGAAGTTCTGGCCAGGTTAAGGCCTGTTTTCTATTAGAAATTACAACTTATATCTTTAAAGACTCTGCTTGATTGAACATGGATTAGTCAGTAGCTTAGATTAAAAGTCACACACACACACACACACACACTCTTAGCGGATAATTGTCTTAGGGGATTCGAAAGTTGGCTTAACTCTAGGGTCTGCATTAGTCTTTTGAGCCGTGAGAACGAGGGTGACAACAAGGGGTCCAAAATGAGAACCACTTCTACCATAATAACAACGAAACTCCTTTATGGATCACTAAGGTATAAATATTTACAGCTTGCGCAGTTTGCAAAGATCGTCTAAACATTTCTTTTTAGCCACAAAGTTCCTTCTCTTTGAGCAGGCCTTAAGTATATATACAGAACTCTCGATTAAACACCTAATACATATATGTAGATATATATATATATTTATGTGTATATATATTTCTTCTAGGAAAACCCAACGTATAAACAGAAAAAAAAAACCTTTCTTATTGTTTAGACATCTAGAAATATCTGTGCCAATGTCTTTGCCGTATTCATTATTTATAGTACGCAAATATCCTTCCGTAGTCGTACTTTTGTTTACTTCAGAGTAGCTAAAGCCATTTAAAGAACCGAACACCATTTAATCTCAATATTGTTTATAGTTGACTTTCTTTTTGGGTGGTTGGGGAGTTGCGGGGTTGGGGTGTTGGGCTGTTGGGGCCTTCTTCCTTGTCATCATTTTCCACTAACGAGGTAACATTTAAACGCGTTTTCTTTTCCACTTAACTACGACACTTTAGTTTCTCCTTCTTCCTTTTGATTTAATATGCATTCAATTAGCCCTGTCCCCATCTCTTGGGCTAAGCCACCCCCTTTGCAATTAGCATGGGCGTAGATGATTAGCCAGTGGGATGGTGGCATCCCCCACATCCCCATTGATTAATGCCCTCTTTTCCTGGCCTGTGTGTCTGTGTCTGTGCGGAGGAGCAGGAGCTGGACGAGGGCAGGAGCTCCTTGCATCATAATCTTGCTTGTATAATTACAATTGAATTAAGCTATAATAATCTTACTCCGCCGTCACTGCCCGTCTCCAACTCCGCGCCGATCTCTCCCAGCTCTGGCTCCACTTCTCCGCCTGCCCATCCTTGGCCTCGTCCTTATCCGGCTGCCCATTCAAACTCGTTTCCTTGGCCTTCTTTTGTCTGCCGCCTTTTGTGTGGCAGGACAATGTTGCTGGCCCAGCTTCGGCCAACGCCGTTAATAATACCAATAAGGCTAATAGAAATGTCCCGATTAGCCGCATTGTCCCTCGTCCGAGGACCGGGTCACTCCCGCTGGCCGGGTGCTGATCCGGAGCCCGGTCCTTGTAGAGCCTTCCGTTCAGGTTGCGTGACCCATCCTCGCTGCGCGTGTCCTTTTGCACCACCTCGTTCTTCTGGGGGTGAAAAGAAAGCTTTGTTCAGCTTTGATTGTTTCCAAAAGGGTTGGGTCAAGTTCTTGGAATAGTCTTGGGTTTTCAGGATGAAAGGTCCCTTCTTTGAGCAGCTTCAACTTACCGACACTTCGTTGAGATCATCATCGTTACGGAATTTCCTTTCGGGACGCTCCATTTCTGGAAATGCATCGGGAAAAGCAAGAAGTGCAAGTTAATTAATGTCAATTTAAACATTAATCATAGAGTACTGTAAAGTGAAGCCCAAACAACCTTAAAGAGAGTCTATCTCAGACAGCACAAGTCGAAGAATATATCCCTTAAAATATGCAAACTTACGCCTTTTTGCTGTTAACATGCACGAAATTACTATAACTAACTATAAACTAGTCACTATTACTTACCGTAGAGCCGGATGGTGCCTTCGGTGTCGCCGATGCTGTTCTTGGAGATGCACTTGTAGCCACCGAAATCGCTTGTCTGGAGTCGCTTGATGTGCAGGACCATCTCGATGGCGTACATATTATTCTCCTTCTCGGTGAGCGCGTAACGATCGCCGGCAATAATCATTTCACCTGTTTTGCAGGTCAAAAAGTCAAAAAAGGCGAAAAGTCAAAACGAGCAGAAAAATCGAAATGAGCAACGATGAAAACGAGATGAGATGTGATGAGTTGAGGTGTGAATGAAGTCATGAATACGAAGCAGGGAGTCGGGCCAAATGAGCTCGGGTTACGTGAGGAGAAAGGTGGGGAAAGGGAAGGTGTGGAAACTCCGCTGACGAGGAGATGTGGAGGTGAGGAGACGAGCCACGGATGATGACATTTCTGGCATTGCCGTCGAGCGTTTCACGTTTACGTTGCGGCTCCCGTCACGTTTGCAATATACGTCAAATGCACTTGACAAAAGATCCAGCCAGCCAGTTCTCCAATAGCTTACCCTCCTCTCCCCACGCTCCTTTCAGCGGCTTACCTCCACCACTGCTTTTCCACTTTTCCCGGGGGACAACAAAATATTTGAGCTTCGAACACGAACCAAATAAAGACAAATTGCGGCATTGAAAGGTTTATAAAGTTTGAACCAGTCCGAGTTACAACTCGAGCAGATGCTAAATGAAAAATTCAATTCGTGGCCACTCCTCCGCTCATCAGCCACACGGAGAAAAATAAAGTTAAATTAACAGGGATAGGGATAAGTTTAAGGATTTACAAAGACTAAGTTTGGTAACAGAACACCCTTCCCAAGAAGGAAGAAATAATAATTAATAAACTCACCCTTTGTAAGCTAAAGCGAATTTTTAATGAAAGTCTAAAAAAATTTGAAATAAAAATAATTGTTTAAGAGAAAACTTAAAAAGTTGAAATCGCAAATGGCAAATGCAATTTGTTATCGGTGGCTTGATTTTCCCACGGCATTTCCCGACTTACCATTCTCGCGCTGCCAATAATTGATGGCCTTCGGCGATGCCTCGACATTGCAAATTAATGTGACATCCGTGAGGACCGGGGCGCCGACCAATTGATTTGGCACTTGAACCAGCGGATGAACTGCAAAGGAGACGGCGAATCGAAAGGGGTTTATTAGAGGGGGGATAAGTCCGCCTTTGGGGGCGGTGTCAATTGTAAAGCCATCAGCGGCTGTGACCTTGCAAACCCGTTCAACCCACTCCACCCTGCATCGCTAATCCCTATCGGCCCATCCATGCTGGCTGCCCTCGCGGACTAGACCGGCAATTAAGCTGGCCACAAGGGACCAAAGTCAAACTTCAAACCCTTTTGTCGGACTCCAGATTCCAGCTGTGATTCACCCGCTCCACGCTCTTCGCTTTCGTTTTTCTTTCCGTTTTTTTTGTTGTCGGTTAATGGCAACGCCAGCAACAACAACTGATACGATTTTAATTGAAAATGAATTATTTTGTTGTTAGAGCGAGAGCTAGCAATCCTCGCCAGCAGCCCCGGACCCGGCAGCATCCATCGTTCTCGCCCAGTGGTCAGTCAGTGGCAAATAAAACGAGCAAGTCATCTCTCCCGTGTTTCCCCGGCTTTTCCCATTTTCCGCTCCCTCTTGGGGATACACTCACTCATCTGGTCTGGAAATTGGCGGACTCAGCCGGAGGAGCGATGATCCCTGACCGACTTAATCATTATGCCATTCAAATGAGCGGTTTTTGCAGATTTCATAAAGAGTTGGCCAACGAAATGAATCAGCAAATTGAAGATAAAAGTTAATCTTGAGATATCTGAGGATCCTTTAAAGTCGGTTAATGGTTTTAATCTGAATCTACATGTAAATTGATCAGACTCAAAGTGACTCTCATTCCGTTAGAGCATTTCAAGTTCGCCGAGGACATGGCATTAATTCATTGGGTTTGCCCTTTGGAGCTTTTCCATGTTGTTCGTGTCGTGTTGAGATTTTTTCGTTTATTTTCGATTTTTTCGCCAGTTTTTTTTATATATTTTCCTTTGCTTTCTCTGGCCCTTTCTCCCTAGTCTTTGACGTTGTCTTGAAGCCGCCCCAGGGAGCGCAGCCGGAGAAGCGAAGGACCGAAGGACCGCAGGCCAGAGCCAGAGCCAGAGCCAGAGCCACTGACCATCATTGTTTTTTGGCTTTTCAACTTTGCTCTTACAACCCACTGCACAGTGCCCCTTTCGCCCCGAGCTGCATTCGAGCGTTCATTATTGGTCAATTTATTGGATTTGTGCATGCCGCACTCTCGGCACGGCTCCATGTGGTGTCCAGATTCTCAGTCCGTACGGGTGTTCTCTTCCCCCCAACTCGGACTCGAACCCAGACCCGGAATGGTGCAGCATATGTCATGTGTTGTTCGCAGGCGGATGGGATGGAGGGCGTCCATACTACCCCATCTCCATCCCCTTCCTAGCCTACCACTTATTGAAAATTCAATTTGTCCTAATAGAGCTTTACAGCAGGCAGCTGCTGCCAGGCATCGGAAAAAGAAGCTGGCCTTACTTACAACGGGATTAAATCATCAGCATACCCATTTCCTCTGTTAATCTAATAATATTTGCTCTTATTGTTTAGTACTGCGCCACCAGTTGAACTTCAAAGAAATGATAATGCCAATGAAATCACTTTAAACTAAGATACAAGAGAGGGAATTTCAATGCGCCAAAAAGATTTTATTTTTATCCATATCTCATTCCAATTCCTGAATAGTTTTCAAAAAAAAGAGGATGCTGTTTAAGTCTAACCCTCGGTGGAGCTCTCGGTGGAGCTGCTATCAGTAGAACTATCGGTGGAGCTGTCGGTGGAGCTGTCGGAGGAGCTATCGGTTGAGCTATCGGTAGAGCTATCGCTAGAGCTATCAGTAGAGCTATCAGTAGAGCTATCACTAGAGCTATCAGTAGAGCTATCAGTAGAGCCGCTGTCAGAAGAGCTGCTATCAGTGGAACTGGATACGCTGCTCTCCGTGGTGGTGAAACAAGGTCTTGGACGACGACGGGGTGGACCCCATCTGCCAGGACCGCCGAAGCCTCCAGGACCGCCAAAGCCTCCAAGGCCGCCGAAGCCACGAGGACCTCCGAAACCACCGCGACCGCCAAAGCCTCCAGGACCACCGAAGTCCTCAGGACCGCCGAAGTCGCCAGGAACACCTCCACGTCCACCGAAAGCTCCCACGCTGCGATCACCACCGCCAAATCTTCGGCCACCACCTCCACCACCTCCACCACCTCCACCACCTCCACCACCTCCGCCACCGCGTCCGCCACGTCCACCGCGTCTTTCGCCGCCCCCTTGGGCCACGACCACTGCCACGAGGGCCAGAAGGGTAATTGCTATGTAGGCACGCATTCTCAGACTCTGGCTCGCAACTGATTTGAGCTAACCACGCGCGGCCCCTTTTATACCCAAGAACTCAGCCGAAAATTCACCCATCAGCCAGCCAAGAATCCCCCGTGACATCAGCGTCGCCTGTGTGCTTAGCTGAATTCTCCGAAGAATGGAGAACGGAGCGAAAGAGGCGTCGAATTCTTCGCTTCTAATTATTCGTGCGTCTCTTGTTTTCTTCCTAATGTGGCAACAGCTGGCCCATGTTTGAGTTGAGTCCATTGTCTTGCAGTTTTGTCTAAAAGGTTTGAGTTTGAGATCAGTGCGGCTCTGCAGGGGGAGGTCGGCACCCATCTACGCAGATTCCGCACATGATTAATTCCCATAACTTTTCAAGCTCACAATAATAAGAACTAAGAATTTTTAATTTATTTTAACAATTTTGATGTGCAAACTTTATTTTTCAACTGTTAAATTTTTGTTTCCTCGTTCAGTCCGACTTTTATTGCAAAAGTTATGAATGATGATAGGAAAATCAGATAAAATGCCTATAACTAAGACTCTTTCACATAAAAGAGACTGAAGAATATTATAAAAGAAAGGAATTTTCACAAATTAAATCGCAGAAAGTGCACAGAAAATGAGATTATTTATATGCTCTGGAATGAAGTTTATTATTTACGCTTTTTGGATATTATCTCGAGCTCTGATTAAGCATTTTCGGATTTAGTTTAGTTTTCTTTAATGAAGAAGGTTCTTTAACCCATTTTGGTTAGTAAACATAAGTACTAGATATGAAGTTGCTAGATATAAGAACCTTTACCACCAAAATAGGCATAAAATTGAAAATGATTGGAAAATGAACCTTCAAGACAGACGACCAGCTACTAGTCCTGTCTTCTTAGTAATTATTTTTAAGGTGACCTTAAGCTGATTCCTAAAGCTTAAAACTGCGCTTTTACAGCTTCAAATTTCAAAAACGAAAAAAAGAAAGAGGAAAGCAAAATATTAGCCTTGAATGAAATGAATTCCTGTTAAGGCTTTCGAAGGCATTTTCCCAAGTAGAGAGGAAAACCTTTAAGGTCCCACACCCACTTAGTGCTAAGACTCAGCGACAGACCTCCGAGGAGCCGCTTAATTTTTTGATTAGAATCAATCAAGCCGGCGGGTGAAAAGTGGGGGTGGAGTGGGTGGCGTTGACTAACGCGACTTTTGCCGCTTTTCGCACATATGGATTTTTAAATTGAAATTTCGAGGGCCAGAGGAGGTGGCGGGATGTTTTGCAGGCAAGTGAAAATGGAAATGAAATGACAAAGGAAAACGAAAACGAATTTGTGGCATAGATAAAATAAAATAAAAATGAAAATTAATTTTTGCGGCAGGGCGAGAATCAACAGGATGTGTGTGCTTGTGTGGGTGACCGAGAAAACTGGCGCCACATTTTCACGACCGTGTCAATATAATTTTCGGATACGATCTTTTGGTTTTCCAGACAAGTTGATGCTTCTAGGTACACTTCACTCCCCTTCCCCTGCTCCCTCCTACTGGTTTTTCCATCTTTTCCCTTTATTTGTCCCCTTTTTGCCTTTATTTTTCCTCTTTTTTTCGTTTTTCTTGAGTTTTCCCGCTCTTCTTGGTTTCCCGCTTGCCGAATTGTCGTCGTTTGAACTTTTGCCCCTTTTGGAAATTTCATTAACTTTGATGCGGGAAGGTAAAACAGTTACGGGGGCTACCGGGGCGTTGCAGGGGGGGGTTCTTAAGAGGGTTTTTATGTGGGCAGACAGAGGGATAGTGCAGAACTGCCCTTAACAATTACCACTTCACATGATACACACACCCGCCAACACACACACGAGTTTAAAGTTTTACTGCAGGAACGTGACGTTGCGTTGCCCCAAGAAACGCTTCCCCCCCGCTTTTCGTTTTCCCCGTTTTCTCCGTTTTCCCGTTCTCAGTCCGGAAAAATGCCCTTCGACCCCACCGCCACATCCTTCAGTTTGGCGCCCTAATGCATTTGGAAAGTTTGCTGGCCACGTGAAGGAAGCTGGCGGATATCGAAACGGAAACACTTGCAGTTGCCGCCGCTGCGTTATTGCTGCGGTTCTGTTCCTGTTCCTGTTCCCCTTCCGCTTCCGGTTATAGCTCTGCCATACAGCACAGGTTCGGACGCCTCCACGTGGCAGCCCCCTTCTGGAACACGCACATCACATCCGAGCCGGGCTATATGTTACCATTATGATTATTATGCGGCATTAGCTGCCTTCGGCTGCCATAAATCAGGGCATTTTCTTGGCCAATAGCAGCAGCAGCAGGTGGCGCCACCCATTTATCATGTATCATATATGGATATATAGTATATATACTCACAGTGCACCTGTAGCTTCATCCGCTTGCTCACCGTCGGCGGCACTCCGTTGGAGGCGATGCACATGTAGGCGCCCATTTCCGATCGCGTGATCTTCGACAGAGTCAGCATTTCACCCTCCACCGATTGGGCTGTGGGTGGCAAGGATATATATTATATTACTTCTTATATGTAGCAGACATGCGGTCGGTTAGTCAGGGCAAAGTGTGTTTTAAAGGTGTTTAAATTGTTGGGTAACTGTGAGACTTCATGGGGGTGTAGCATGCTTGACTTGTTTAAATCTTCTGTAAAATTTTTACCAAACTTTCTAGCTAAAGAGTCTTAAGTTAAGTTTCCTAATGCATTCAAATATTTAATCATAACTTTAAAATTACTTAGTCTTAGTGATTCAGATTTCTTGCAGTTCTTACCTTTGGTTTTCTGGTGCGAGCCACTGCGAGCAATGATTTCCCTGCCGTCCTCGCGACGCCACGTGATCTTGGGCTTGGGATGGCCACGGGCTCGGCACACGAGCTTGGCGGATCCGCCCTCGGGAACCATCATGTCTCCTGAGGTCTCTTCGTTGATGATATCCGGCGGAATGACCACCTCTAAGGTGGCAGTCTGCAGGTAAAAGCATTTAGGGGAATGAGTAACTGTGTCAGGACTGGACGGAAATCGCGCATACGACACGGTGTACGTGCAACGTATACGCCCAGTGGAACCATTTTTATCTTTTGAGATACCGAAAATTATTTCCCCCTTTTAGAACTTATGACAGCACTGAATAATCGAGAGTTTCAAATGAGCATTAAAGTGAGGTTACATTTTTAGAGCTAATAAGTTTTCGTTTTAATATTAACCCAATTTTCGTTTTTAACTGTAACGGTAAAGTTATTTAATACGGCAACGGTAAAACTATTAGAAATAAAACCAAAGCGAACCCTTTTAATGAGTGTTGGTCAGCATTTTAGCTGCACTTTCCGACAAATTGTCGTCTCATTATGAAGCTCAGTGTCCTGCACCTTTTTGTCCCTTTTTTCCACTTTTTTAAACATTTGTTTCATTCTGCGGTTGCTGGCTGCTAGCAACAATAACCGAATTGCTGCTATCATTGTCGTTGTCATTGTCATTGTTCCCGCTGCAGTTGACAGTTGTGTCATAAAATAAAGTTGACGTCACTGGGAAAAAAGGAGAGGCTGGCTGGCTGGCTGGCAGAGCAAAAAAGAAAAACAGAAAAAAAAAAAATGGAAAACCCCAAACGAGCCAAGCGCGAAATTTATACGACAGTGGGTAAAAACGGCTGGAAAGCAGGACAGTGAGCGAGAAAGCTGGAGAATTGTCAAGCCTGTTTGCTTTTTATTTGTCTCATATTTGCTTTTCACTCAATTCGCTTTGTTAGGTTGATTTTATTACAAACCGGCGGATGGGTGGTTCTTCTCCATCCACCACCCACCACACCATCTCTCATCCACCGCCCACCCACATTTTCCTCATCATCCTTGCAGCATAAATGAAATGAAATTGAAAACGCAATCGCTTTCCACATGTCGTTTAATGGCGGGGTGGTGCTGCATAAAAAAAAACTCAATTCAACTCGACTCTCGACTCGAGTCGAGTAACGGCAAACGTCACATGAGAACCACGCACACACACATAGGAAAGTTCCCTCGGAAAATTCCAGAGGAAGTCTCCCCGCCACTCCCCCACAGACACCCATATAAGCGCTCTTTGATGACGTCAACATTGCAACGGCACTGTGTTTGTTATTTATTTTTGTCATTAAAGCGCTTCATTGTGTATATATCGTGTTTAAATGTCACCCCACACTCACACACACACACACACAAGGACTAGGGGCCAAAAAAGGAAAGAACGAAGGATACACGTACATACACCAGCACACCAGCACACCAGCACACCAGCACACCAGCACCCCAGCACACACAGGGGCCAAAGGGGGATACCCGACATTGCCGGAATAATTTCATTATACCCCCATTCTTTCAGGCACTTTTTTCACTGGCCTTCGGAAGAGGCAGCAGAAAGTTGATAGCTTTGAGCTTTGTTAGTTTCAAGAAACTAGGCTGCCCCAAAAAAAGGAAAGGCTTTCACAGGAGATGCAAATACTTGATGCTCTGTCTATAAACCAGAAAAGAAAAACTATTGCAAGGATGTAAGTGTATCGCTGTGTGTTGCTATGTGCCGTATATTTGCATAACGGAAGTGAAAAAGAAACATTATGTTTTGGGCAAACTGGGCATCGGAAGGCCATTTTGATTTATCCCTCTTTACGTGCTTTCATGGGAAGGGATTTAACATTTTTAACTAAGCAGTCCTGAAAAATTCGTTAACATTTTGTGCCACTTGTCTGATGGAGGCTATCTTGATTAATAGTTGATTGATTTTAGCTGATTGAATGAACTGATTAGTATTTCATTTCATTGTTTTTAAGTCAAAGTTTCGAAAAGTAGTCCGTCTGCTAAAGCTCGATTGAATGAAAAATAAAATATTGGTATTTGCATTTGTGCTTGAATATGTTTCACTATTGTATGGATTTTTGTAGAAGTCTTTCGATATATGAAATAAAATAATAAAATAAATAAGTAGAACATCCATCATATACTTTCTACCTCCCCCTCCCTCGCCATGCATAGTTTTATATTCCTCCATAATCCAGACACAACAAGAGGAAACGCTATAGTCGAGTGCCGCGACCATAAGATACCCGTTACTGTTTTACAAAATTTTGAAATATTATTTTGCTAGTGGAAATTCACAAGGCGCCACCTATTTTCAGAGGAAGTATGTTGAGTATGCTTATAGTGACGTCACTGCCCGTGTGAGGCCTTATAACCTTAATTTCTTCATAAATAGCGAAATAATGTTCCGATTTGAAAAATCTTTGGTAAATCGATAGATATTAACAAAAATAAGTTATACAAGGTCAAACGAAGGCATTCATAATAATATTATAGACGCCACAGTTTTCCGCGGTTTGTGGGCGTCAGAGTAGGCGTGGCCGGATGCAACTTCGTAAAAAGTTGCAAAGGCATATCCTAAATACGTGATCCTAAACAAAATTATGTAGCTCTTATAGTTTTTGAGATTTTTGCATTTTTGGTTGTTCAGATTTTGTGGGCGTTAGAGTGGGCGTGGCTTGATCGAAAAAAAACAATTCGCATTGGGAGCATAATAAAAACCTACATGCTGAATCCGAACTTTCTATCTTTTATAGTTACCGAGATATCAGCTTTTCTAGAAAATCCGAAAACCGTCTTTTGAGCCTTGTGGGCGTATGGGTGGGGTGTGGCCGGATAGTAGTACCACTATAAGATGCGCTGCCAATTAAAGATTATAATTTTTGAATTTCAACTTTCTAACTGCAATAGTTCCTGAGATTTCAGCAATTTTAGTTTTTTGCGATTTGTGGGCGTTAGAGTGGGCGTGTCAGGATGCTGTAATAAACTTGCGCTTTCCCGGGACCTCAAGAATCTTCATGCTTAATCTCAACTTTGTATCTGCTATAGTTCCTGAGATCTCAGCGTTCATACGGACGGACGGACGGACGGACGGACGGACGGACGGACGGACGGACAGACGGACATGGCTCAATCGACTTCGCTATTGATCCTGATCAAGAATATATATACTTTATAGGGTCGCAAATGCTTCCTTCTATCTGTTACATACTTTTCAACGAATCTAGTATACCCTTTTACTCTACGAGTAACGGGTATAATCACCACAACTGCCAACCCCCCAAATACAAACTCCCTGAATATCATTAAGTTCCTGGACAACTCCAAAATCGCCTTCCATATTTCATTTTAATCACCACTTATTATGTAAATAAAATGTAAATATTCTGTATATATATTCATGTAAGATAATTGGATATTATCAATGTTTTATTATAAAAGTTTATAGCTAAAATAGATATTTAGGTTTAGATTATGGGTTGACAAACTTTACAACTTTTCGGCTGATTATTTTATGGCGCTACAACTTTGCAACTTCATTCCGAGGGCTTCTTCTTCTTAGTGCTGGACATTCTCAACTGCCTCTTTGATACCCAACTCTATTCGATAGTCGTAGGGCTGCCAACTGATTAACATAACGCCACCTCACATTCATATGTTATCAATACGTTAGTTTTAACCAAGCAATAAACTAAATCTAGACGCGAGCAGAAGGCCTTGACTTCTATTGGTTCTAGCCCTATGTTAGCTCTTAGTTTTAACTAATTATTAGCCTTAGATAAATAAATAAGTAAAATATTATGTGGGAATGATTAAGAAGAACAGACAAAGCCCCCAGACAACGAAGCAGGAACCAAGAGGTAAAGATTGACCATCTGGCGAAGGAGACGATAAGACGTAGACGAGGAAGACGACGGCGAGAAGAACGGAGCGACGTGAGGATCGGGGAGTTAGAAAGAAGAGTTGACGACGATAACACGTGCTCATGAGGAGCAAATACGACGCGACGACGATTAAGTTTAATCGACTGACTTAAAAGTGATAGAATATTTGTGAGAAAAAAAGTTCTTTTCTGAGCTTATTTCTAAAATTTCTGTTTGGGGTTATAGGAGCGGGGACTTGGTACCCTGACCAAGGTGAAACCTTTTTGCTGAACAATCAGTCAAAAACGACCAGTTTACTATTGCCCCTACAATTGGTATTTATAGCCTCATGCCGTTATTGCCCCTTCGAGGTGGCACAACTTGTAATCGTGAGTTTATAATTGAGAAAAGGGACTTCTTCCCAAATTTAACCCATGGCTTTTACTAAGCATTCACCTGTCTTAAATTTAAAAAGTATAAATATGCTAATACAGTGCATTATTATTGTCACTTGGATCATGTTTCACATTAACCTGAGTAGCTTTCTTCAACACTTCCATCATTAAATATTGATTTAGTGCTTAAACCAGAAACATGTTGTTGCATTGTGGACCCTTTTGCGCCCTTAAACTTTGTGGCATAACCACTCGATGATTATTATTATTACACCCTCGACAGAAAAAAATGATTCGTTTTTCCGGGGAAAGTCAGTTGGCACCCGCAGTGAAATCGCAGCACTCACCTGCATTTTCATGGGATCCGTGTTGACCTGACACATGTATTTGCCGGCATCCTCCATTTTGACGCTGCGTATGTTGAGCGTCCATGTGTTGTAGTCATTGTGCTGCACCGATAATCGATCATTGTTGGTTATCACGTGCTCGTGAATGGCCAGAATTGCCTTGGCATCGGCCTTAATCCAGGCGACCTGATGGTGCCAGTTTGCCAAATGGAAACGGGGGGTGATGGCAGTCGGGGGAAATGGAGGTGGGGATAAAGGGATGACCATTGTTGTTGTTGAGTTGATGACAGCGTCGGTTTGAATGTCCAAGTGTGTGTGTGTGTGTGTGTGTGTGTGTGTTGATGAAGACAACGGTTGGTCGTTGTTGCATGTCAAAGTGTTGTTTGTGTTTGTGTTCCCGTGTGAGTGTGGGTGTGAGCGAACGCCAGATGTTCGGAAATTGCAGTTTGATATCCACCCACAGGAAAAGTTTCGGGGTCATTATATTTAGTTAATGCCATTATGGCCACCATTCGCGCATTGTCACCATTGCCAGCCATAGTCGTTGTTGAATTATCCCAAAATTTGAGATTGTTTGTGAAGTTGTAAGTTAAGGATGTTCAAGGATAAACGAAATCGAAAGTTGATGAATATTTGATTTGTTTTTAAAATTTTGAATAGTTAAAGTTATGACACGAAATAACAAATTGAAAGGTTGTTGAATTAGCCAATTTGTTGTCGAGACGCATGCAACATTTGATTTGTTATTGTTAAGTTGAGAGGTTCAATTTTTTTGAAGTTTTTTAAAATCAGAAATTATTGTAAACAAGTTTAATCGTGTTGAATGTTGCGGATAAAGAAATGAGAAATATTTGTGATTTCATCAGAAACAATCAAAGTATTGGTGAATGTTGTTGAAGTTTTCAAGAGGAGTTTTTCGAAGATTGGCAGGCATTCGTGTCAGTGTCATTGCAATGGATCCAATGGAGGCGACGACGGTGTTGATAGCCAGTTTGGATTTGGATTAGAGTTCGTTGTTGTATTGCGTTGGTGTAGCATTGTTATTGGTGTTTTTGTTGTTGTTATCGTCAGATGTCAGCGCAATTTGACGCCATTTCCATTTTGCACAGGAGCAGTGGGAAAGTTTTTGCAAGTTTTTCGTTTTCGGGTGGGTCGGAGGGTTTGGATAGTTTGGTTTGGTTTTTTTCCGGTGGTTTGGCCATCGAGTGCAGATTGTTAGAGTCATTGTTGGTGGTGTTGTTATGGTCGGTGGATATGAAAAGGGATATTTCAAGTGCAATTAGTGGAATTGGGTTTGCGGTTTTCGGGTTTCGGTTTTCGGTTTTCAGTTTTCGGTTTTTAGCGTCCAACGTTGGCCATTTGGCGAATGGATTTTAGTGTGTTTTAGTTTTAGTTTTTTTTTTTTTTGTGGATATGAGTTTTAGTTTGCGTTTGTGGAGAGAAGAAACATTCAACAATTAGTTAACATTTTGCGCTTATGCAATCGCCTCGTCCTTCTTATGCATTTCTATACATGTTCTTTTCCTTTTTGTAACCAAAGAGCAAAGATAAAACAAACATACAGACAACGGGAAGTAACGCTCACATGTGCGGGGCACACATACAGAGACAGTGAACGAGAGAAAGGTAGATGGTAATGGGAAAGAGAGAATGAGATAGATAGAAACGAAGGGAAAGGAAACACAAGAGTCATGAATTATGGGTGCAGTTGGCGGTGCGTTGTGAAGCGGCTAATCAGTTGGCATTAACATCGCATGCACAATTAGAAAAAAGAGTGGATTAACGTCAAGGGAGTGGGATATATAAGGGATATTAGTATATGTATGAGATAATGTATGTATGTATGTATGTATGTATGTATCTGTGTATGTATGGTGCAGGCAGGCAAATGTTGCAACACTCACAATCCTCCCATCCCACTAATCCTAGCCCCTGCGCCACCTCCCTGCTCCTCTGCTCCGCCTAGTTTTAATTAACATTATGATGTGCCGACTGAGCGCAGTCTACGGGTTTTAGCTAATAGGCTTAAGCGGCTTTGTGCGGACGAAACGAAAACGGGTTTCGCAAATCCGGAAAGTGAAACGGGGAACGGGAACGGGAACGGTGGAAAAGGAACTAACGATAAAGTCGGATCGGTACACTCAGGAGAAAACTTGACAGATAGGCTGTGTGTGCGAGTATTAGGAAAATACCTCTAACCTGTACGAACTTTTTCCATTTCCTAATGGTGTCTTCGCGGCTTAGAATTCCCAAGTCATTATTCTGAGGAAGTAGCGTATATATATAGCTTTAAGAAAAAAGTTTTCAATTAAAAGTTTTATTTTGTAAGCCTAGTTATTTGGTAACTGCTTTGAATTTTGGCTGAGAATCGAATCTTTGGCTTCTAATTGGGAAGGTCACCAAACAATTAGCGCTTTTTGCTTACAATTTTAAATATCACATTTACTTAATTAATGATTTCACATTTAATAACTGGATGAGGAGGTGATTTCAAATGAGCTGGACTTGCCTAGATAATGTCTTACATTGAAAAACGTTCGTTTGATTCTCCAAGTATTTGTATTTCTAATGCAAATATTTTTTCAGTTTCAAAATTATATCAATGAGCATTCGAGTGTTCAAGCTAATGGAATGGCCTTGTAAATATGTACACTCAAAAACAAGTTTTTAAATTTCGTTAAGAAGTGGCATAGGGAAGATCAGGGTTGTTCTTTAAACTGAAATAAGAACTAACGTCTCTTTGTACCTTGAAGCTGAATTAGAGTGGAGTTCGAGTATTCGTTGAGTGTATTTTCCGAGTGCCTTAAGTCCGTTTTAATAAGCTACGCTTTTCCCAACTCCACGGAGTGCATATGAAAAAGGCTTTTAACTTTTTGTGCGGAAACTGTTAAATCTGGAAACTGAAATCCCATGGCTTTGGCACTTCTCTATCGTCGCTGCTAATTGATATAACTTTTCGCCAAAAAGTGATAAAATATTTGCCATTAGTGCTTTGTGAACTGACAGCCCGGCAGCCGTTTTGCAGGTTTATATTGTAGCGGGTCCGGCAATCCAATAAGCAGGAATGCCAATACAGCTGAGGCCCAGACCCCGCATTTCTATTTTTTCTTTCGTTTTTTATTCGAGTGTGTCAATACGGGAAGGGCGAAAGGTGGGAGTTCAGAGTTCGGAGTTCGGAGTTCGGAAATGTGGAGCGGGGTGATGGGTTATGAGCTCTCTTGGAAAATAAATACCCATGGACAGCAGCCAGGACGAACGTTTGATGTTGCAGCGCGACGGAGGCACTGGCGCTTTATTTATTTACTCAATAAAGCAAATTTATTGAGTAATGCATGGACGGGATCGGGGAAAGCGGGGGAACGGGGAACGGAGAACGTAGAACTGGGGGCTTTTTTGGATGGTTGGGGATTCCAAACAAAGGCTCAAACGGATTGTGACGAAAATCGGACAAACAAAAAAGGGGGCCGGGGCTGGGCTAACAAAAAATCCGTGTGGAGGAGTGGGAATGTAAAACGGATTGTAAAAAATTTTCAAATGTAAATGCAAATAAAGCGAGCAAATGTCATAAAGTAAGTCTACAGTTACTACATGGACAACACGACTACATAAAGCACGACTCTCACGCACACACGCGCCCATTCGAACTAACACTCACTCAAACACACACTCATACAGATTATTCGCGTATATTTATATATATATATTGATATACCTATATATTTGTATATATACAAAAATGGTGCAAAGTTTGTTTCGGTTTGAACTCGGTGCGCTTGAATTTATTTTATTAATATTTCTCTGTATTTTACTAACCAAAAATGAAAACAGTAAAAGATGCCCAGAGTAGTGGGCTAAAAAACGAACTGAAAAGCCAGAATGAAAACACAAACAGAGGGCCTGGGATAGAGATAGAGCCAGAGTGAGGGTGCGACAGAGAGGGGGCAACACTCAAACGAGAACAATGCCATGAATTTCGCGTTGTTTGAGTTTTTGTTGGCATCGTTGTAAAACAAATGGATGATCAGCAGAAGTCTCGTTTCGCAAATGCATCAGAGCATCAGAGCACCAGAGCTGTCTGCAAAAGAAATCTTTAATTATGCATAGTTGGCGACGAGCTGAGTGGATTGCAATCGACTGCATTCAACTCGACCATGGTCACACTTTTTTGATATCCCTTTTAAGAAAACTGCAACCCACTGAGCTCAGCACTGCGAAAAGTTACTGATCCTAAGCACGAACAGGAGATTATGATACCATCAGTATTGAATGGAATGCACTAAGTTTGTCCTTGGTCACACTTTGAAAGAGATAAAAGCTGTGGATTGCTCCACTGAAAGTTCTAGGCTCAGATCGAGTACGTAGTACGTATTGTTAACCAGATAATCATAAATAGATAATGCTGTTAAAGTTGAGGGAACGGTTAATGAGTAGCCTTGAAATAGTTCAAATTTTGAAGAATAGCCTGTTGTTAGAAAAATGTAGGATCTTAATAGGGTAATAAGTTAAATCGCTTAGTTCTTGACCAATATGAATCCCTTTACCACTGTCGCTTGATTATTGCTTTTATCCGCAGCCTTGCGATTAAATGTAGGAAGTTTTAAATAGTTTATATGTAGGTAGCTATTTGTTGTTTAAATAAAGTGACAAGGGGCACTACTCCTCTCTCTTTCGCTCTGCCCACATCAGCCATCTCCTGCCATTTGGCTGGGTTGTTTTTGTTTGATTGAAGCATCGAAGGATTTATATGAAATGGCGTTTTTATTTATGATGCCATTTCGTTGATTAACACTCTTTGACGCGCGGCGCCACCAAGCAGAGAGACAGGGACAGCGACGTAGGCAGAGGGGTAAATAAGAGAGAGTGAACTAGTGCGGACTGTCAAATACCCTTTACTTGGGCATATTTCAAAGGGATAATCAAAGGAAAATTTAGTATTAAATAAACAGCTACGGAAGACATAGTAATCATGCATTTCGTAAGGCATTAAGTGATGTTAAAGGAATTATCTTAAAGATAAACTTTTAAGAGTCCTAAGGCGTAGACCCCTCGTCGATTTGCGATTAATGGGTATGCTATACCGTGGACATGGCACACACAAAACGCATTCAATAAAAGCATCGAGAAATTGAAACGAAAAGAAACGAACAGGACTGTCGGTGACATTTAAAGGTGTCCTCCAATTTCAGTTCAATGTCGGCAATTAAACAAAAAACGATTGGATAGCAGGTGTTTTCGAAGCGATTGCTACGCTTTGTGTGGATATTTAAAACAATATCGTTGGGCACACTTTTTGCCTCTCAGGGACATCGCATATTTGAGTGATATTTGGTCAGTTTTAATATGTAATGGAAATTATACTTAGTCAAGGGTAAATATTTATTAATTTAACTTTCAGAGAGCTTAAGAGATATCCTTGTAATTAAATAACAACCCATTTGTGCATGCATTTAAGAAAAAAGAAAAGGAAAAGTTATCGATTAACAAATCCGTGTGCCTTCATAGCCTCGCATACCGATTATGGATTCTGAATAAACCCCTAAAATCCCATGCTGATCGCTTAGAACGAATGACTTTTCCGATGAAGAGATGGCCGGGCTTTAAAGAGATTAAATCCTTGCTGATACAATGACTTAATTTGTTTTCATTGTTTGCGCGCTGCGATGCGATGTGACCTCATATACACGCCCCTCGGGGAGGCGCTGAATAATAGCTATTTTACATTTATTATTGTGCTTTTATTTTTGTACATTTTTTAACGATTCACGATTGTTTATTGTTGTTAACAACAAACGCTTACAGTTGGCGGTTTTTGTCCGCGCGGCTCTTTTATCGCTTAAATTCTTTGGCACAATGCCGGCGGAGTCGAGACCCCGGAATCCCCGGGAATCCCCGGATTGCTCGCTTTGTGAGTGTTATAAATTAAATGTGAGTGCTAATAATAATATAATAGGATGATAAAAACAATAAGCTATGCATTTTTCGGCCTCTCCCTCGGTCTCGGTTTCGCATCGCACAAATTGTGCCATGTTTATTTAAATTTATTTTGATGCTGCCGTTCGATTTGTTTCGATCCGAATCGATTGTTGTTATTTTCGCTACTGTTATTGTTTCGTCCTTTTGTCTCAGTTCATGTTGTTGTTGTTGTTGCTTTTGCTATTGCTTTTGCTTTTGCTGTTCATCGGGGCGTTTAATATGCAGAGTGCTCTATATACATATTTTTTGTAGATACTATATATATATATATATATGTATATCGTAAATATTGTATGGTGCTATGGCTGTTATACTGTATACGGTACGGGTAGTTAACTATGGATATACGTATATAGGAATAGGTGCGCTTAACGGTTACATAATTGCGATAATTGTGGTGCAGTGGGGAACTCGTTATTGTTATTGGTGCCTTTTAGATTGGAAAATCGTTAAAACTGTTGTTAAGTTATTTAAATATTGTGCACTTGAAATGGCAAATGAAACGGAAATCAAAACTCACGTAAAACGGAACGGAAACGACAACGTAAATGAAAACGAACGAAAACGAAAACGAAAACGAATACGAAAACGAAAACGAGAGGAAACAAAACGGAAGTTGAGAATTCAACGCTGCGCTTGAAACCGATACATACCTTGGCTAGGGCTGACGAACCGTCACCACTCACCCGATGACCCCCGAGGTTGTTCACCACGCACGTGAAGGTCGCGTCCCGACCTTGGGCGATGGTCACGTTCTCCAGCGGAATCACAAAGTCCGGCTCGAAGGCGCCCACTGAGGAGATTTTGTTCGAAACGGTAAGATCTTCATTTCAATTGACATTTCCATGAAGAGAAGACATTGATTTAACAATTAACACAATTTCGAACAAATATACATATGCTGTGTGTGGTGGCTGTGTGTGTGACTCTGTGTGTGTGTGTTCAGTAGTGGCTGCTGTGTGTGTGTGTGACTGCACAGAGATAGAAATTATATAATTATTAATAATATAATTAGTTAGAAATCTAAGATATAAAGCGAAAATATATTCCGAAAATTAAATAAATTTAATGATCTATGAAACAAATTGTTAACTATCCAAGAATTTGAAAGTTTACAAGGAATTTCTATTGCTTTGGCATATTGGCTATGATATCACAGTACGATCGTACTAACTACAGGTATTCTGGCCAATTATAAATGCAATTTACGAAAATTTTTGATTTTTGATTTTTGAATAGAAATTCATGATATACTGGGAACATACGAAAGAACGTTTATAAAACGATCGAGTAGGGCTTGTTTGATTAATTAGAAATTGCAAAATTCTCTTTGATTCAGGGTTTAAAGTGTACTCTTAGACTCAAATAAATGGATAAATCGTAAATATCTAATCTAAGAAGTCAAAGTATTTATAAAGTTAAAAAGAAAACAAAGTTTCTTTACAGAAAAACAATTCAGGTGAAGGAACATCTATGTGTTCTGATACATTTCACATTATTTGGTAATTTAAGATCCTTAAAAACATTAAAGATACTAAACGAAAGGAGCGATAGGAAGCGCTTAAAAAGTTACATTAAAAGTTAGAGAATATATTTTAGTGATATTGGTCATTTAGTTAGTATGTTTAGGTAGATTAAGAATAACAATATATATGTAGATACACGAAATCATGCTACAGATCATTAAGAAACCAGTTATATTTATCTCTGTATGGGTGCTGTGTGTGAGAGGGTAAGTGTGTGGGTAGCGAGCGGCCTGTCAACGATAGGCAAATCAATAAGGTTAAGCTGAACGAGCCAAGTAGATCGATAACGCACATCGGTCTAGTTGGGAAAACCAAGCAGGCATAACGTGGCAAAGGCTGGAATATCTGCATATCGATTACCGATATTCCAGCCTTTCGATAGTGCAGGATTATCGTAAGAAATGAAGCAAAGCGAAAACATTTATCGGCATTTGCCCAACGCTCCAGCGCCAGAGCTCGTTAATTTGCAGAGCCATTGTCCACTTACCAATGCAATTGCAGAGCAGAAGGAGCAGGAGCAGTTGCCATCGGAATGCGGGTCCACACCCACCTCCGGCTCCGATTCCAGACCCTCCGTGTCCCGATCCCGATGCAAATTCGAGTTCCGCCAGTTTGCGATGATTGGCTCTTTGGGTCAGGCTTGGATGGGGTGTGGTATTACGCTCTTGGCTGTAGTTGATATCGGCGATCCGCTCGCCGGTTTCCTTGACCAAAAGCAAGTTCATCATAATACTGTCCGGGACTGTTCCATTGGCATGTCTGTACTTGTGTTTACTTTGATATTTTGAGCTTCTGAAAATATAATTCAAGTTCGTGGTGGAAATGTAGTAAAGTTGGCTGTCTCTCATCAAAAAAACAGCTACGAAAAATTGATAGAAATTACAGAAATCGTCCAGCACACAGAATGCTACCTTTCAAGCTGTCTACCAGCAACTCCGTTACCAAAGGACCACCGACTAACTCAAATAAGCTGAATGGCAGTCTGCCACTTTAAGCACTCCTTTCTTTGCCTTACTTATTTTTGTCTGAGTGCTATTCCCTCCTCGTTTTGGCTGCGCTGTCAATTTGTCAAAATAAATAATCTAAATAGTCCTACGTACATATTGCAGTGTTTGCCTTGGTATTTGGCATTTCGTATCTTGTATTTTGTATCTTGTATCTTGTATCTTGTGACTGCATTATCTATTGACAGAGCGCTGCATGCCCACTGTGGCAAGCAGTTCCAGACGGAGACCTGCCTCGCCTTTGTTTGGCGACGACAACATTTTTATGGTCGCAAAGAAGGAGCCAGCGAAGGATCGGCAGCAGGATTTTGCTAAAGGAAACCAAGAGCGGTGCATTTGTGTGTACAGAGGAAAAAGTAACTTTACTAGAATAGCTTTTCCAGTTCCAGGAAGATATCGCATTTGAAATTTGGTTTTGGTTTGATTTGAAAGGGTTTTGATATGTAGATTAGAAAGAAAGAAATCTTTAAACCCTTTGCAAGGTCTTGCATTAATATCGAAACTGTATAAGCAAAAGACACCTTTTCAAAAGTTAACACACTTAAAATAAGCAATATGTAAAAGTTTGTGTTAGATACTACGCCCAATAGGGGTGGTACTGTTCATAATTTCCTAACGTGTATCTGGATTTTTCTTGCAACAGGACTAGGACCTTTCACAGACGAGAAGGACAGTGGAGCGAAGGATACGAGGCCCGCACGTGCCGCTATTTACATTTGCACGTAATAAATTCTGAGAGCGAAGGACGAGGACTAGGAGTCGCAACAGGAAATGTGCCGGAAGTGCATATGCCGGCTGTCGTTTGCCCTCGGCCGCCTACTTCGCCGAAGTACATGGATATGGACATGGACACGGACACGGGTACGGACACGGACCAACGTGTTGCATTCGGCACCACTCTCCTTTGCAGCGGCACACATATTTACATTGACGAAATTTAATGAGCTCACAAAAGCTGGGCCCAAATATTTGAGCTGCGATGGCTGGATCGAAGCCAGGACATTAGTGTGGGTACGTGTGCGAGGCGTTTTATTAGATACGTGTTCTATCTGCCGCCCATGACCAAATCCTAGGTCCTCCGTACTTAGTTCCTCAGCCCGTTCCGGCCCTGTGCCCCGTTGTCCCTGGTCCTTAGTCCTCACTAATAATCATTTGCTGTCGCCGATGCGGGCGTCTTTTGTCCACTTGGCACTCAAAGACTTTCCACACTCTCTACGCTCTCCTCTCACTTTCTTCACTTTCCACAGTTGCCGTTCCAGTTTCTTGGCTTAGATCTGGTATGTGAGATCTCCGGATGAGTGGGTATACTAAGGGCATACACCCTTTCTGTATAAATAATGGTTTGACTTCACCGTAAGTGACACAGATTGCCCGACTGGAGTCTCTGATATTTACCAATTAATCAATATCTGTGCCTGGCCTGATAATTTTGAATTAATTATTGTCAGCTCACACCCAGCCAAAATCAAATGTCAACATTGAGGTTCGATTGATTTTCCAGCTGGTTTGGGATTTTGCTATTTGCCATAAATTGGCTATAAAATTCTGCGGATTTGTCAGTTTTCGGTGCTTCATATCATAATTTAATATTTTACTTGCTGTTAACTAATAAAATCCGGCCAAAGAGATTCCAAAAAGTGTAGTTTATGTTCTCAGCATAGTATTCTTCGATTTCTGACTTCAAACTTTATTTTAAGAGAGCTTTAACCTCTGAAAACCCATTTGGCCGAAATACCTGAGTGGAAACTTAAATAAAAAGAAACTTAAATGCATTTTTTTAAAATTCTTTCGGCCTTTCAATAGCATACAAATTGGCTATCCCAGCAGGTTTGTGGTGAGTGCATTTACTCTTCGTTGCACTCCTGACAGGACAAATTGAATTACCGATGATAATATTATATTGATTTTGGGCCCCACACACAGGGAGAGTAAACAATATGGTTAAAAATGACTTTGTAACTGAGCAATTTTATTAGGGTCAGGTGGCTGGGGAGGATGAGCAGGTGCCCTCCATCGGGCCAATCTGAAATTCCAGCCCTGTCAACAGCTCAGCGAGCATTTTCAGGCTTTTAATTGAAACAAAGTGCCATGGCCGAAGCTCAATATTAGAGTAAATATTGCAGGGGCCCGCCCACGGAGCCAAGATCTCTGGCTGAGGTGGCCTAATATAATTTCTGATTGGGCAGAAGCCTAACGGAAATTGCCGGCTATTAATTGTTTCTCTTGCTGCCTAAGTGGCATTCCCTTGCATTTTTCCAGCAGAAAAATATTTTCGTTTTGGCTTTGATTTGGCTTTCGTTTTCCCCGGCCCAAACTTTAAGTAAATCAGTTTGTGTTTGTGGCCGAAAATGCCTGTGTGCTTTTGTTGCTGACATTTAAAATTACACACTTGGGAATGCCAAGTTTTGCTTCAAAGTAAACAGAATTAAGCACACAGTTTCTGGGGGCACAGTGGGTGGATAGGTGGATGGGTGGATTGGTGGATGGGTGGTTAGGCGGAAGGGGTACGGAGTTCGGTTAGATGAGGGGCAAATGACAACTGGTCATCGACTGGCCATGGAACGTGCTCATTTTCCCATTTTCCCACCCAACTATCCACCCACCCTGCCCCAATGTGGTCGTTGTCATGGTCAGCAAAACTTACTTCTCGCGGCGCTTGCGAAAATGGGGAGGAGACTTCTGGGGCTAAAATGGGTTCGGACACCAATGCACAACTAGTATAACTGTATTTGCTTAACATCTCACAGGCACACACACACCCATACACCCACCCACACGCCAACACGCCCACACGCCACACATATGAAATACAAATATCTAGCGATCTGGCTAAATAGCCCAACTAGTTGGTACCCCTTGCTGCCAATGGAGTCTAACTTACTAAATCTAGTATTGAGCTTGTAAAATAGTTTAGGAATTATAAACAAATTCAGTATTTCCCTATTAGTCTGATCTAAGCCGCTATATAAAGAGTAATGACCACGTTAGTCCTAACCAATGATTTCCTTTATTTTCTAGCAAACAATGAGTAAGGCCAACTGATAAGTGGAATTTAAGAGAATAAATTTTCATTCAGCATTCGGGGACTTATCAAGTCCGAGACCAGAAACCGTGATTCGAACTCCAACTGGCCAAATACCTCGCACAATAATGCAGCAAGCCGTTTGACTATCACCACACCCATTGTCTCCCATGCCTCGGTCTACCCCGCCCCTGGTATGCCCCACATACACCTAGTGTTAGTCTGGGACTTTACTGCTGATGCGACAGATTTCCGAGACACTGGGACATGTGGCAAAGTGTAAATGAGCAGTCCTGGACAGAGCTTCTCGCCTCGTATGGCCAGCGGCGCAATTGTCGCACCAGCAGAAAGGGGGGCCTCTAACCCCACGGCTCCCTGTCACACCCCGGCAACTCCCCTGCCACTCCCCTTGGCCAAAGTTAGAAAATGCCTGAATATGCGTGAGTGTCAACTGGTCCACATGCACGAGAAAAATGCCAGCTCGTGTCATATTTTTATTTGTGCTGGCACAACTCCCTTCCCACTTCCCACCTTCTTTTCCACCTCTTTGGCTCCATCGCTTGTTACTTGGGCCACGCCCCCTGAGCATCGACCACCGAACACCGTCCACCGTCCACCGTCCACCGTCCACCGCCCACCGCCCATCTCGCCTTGTGGTCTAATTGAGCGCTTCGGCTTTGGCTTTGGCTTCAGCCGCCCACAAGGGCGAAAAGGATGGAGTGGAGGGCAGTTGATATGTCACGACCATGGCTGGACAATTGTCGTATTGGCGTGATCCTTAGTTATCCTTAGTTATGCTCTGTGTGCCCGCGCTCAAGTGGAAAAGTGCCTCACTCTGAGATGCGAATGAAAAAAGGGAATCGAAAACCGAGATCTGACGATTTATCCTCCCGGTTCGAGCCCAGATTCCAGCCTCAAATCTCTTTAATTGAGTCTCCTGGGTCGTAAGGTCCTTTTTAATTGAACATAAGTTCAGATTTCCCAATCTCCAAAAGCCATTTCGATTTCCTTTAAATACGAGTACTTTTTGTTCTCAACTTGCTGAGAAATCTAGAAACTTTATTTTAGTTTACCATAGAGAGACGAGGACGGTCTTTGGTTAAATGACTTAAATAAAGTATTTTTTTGGAATTGGTTGTCAAAATAAAGAACAAAACGTAAGTTACATCATTTAGAGAAAGTTATTAATATCCGTTTTATTCGAGAAAAGAAAATTTCAAGGCATTTTTGAGTAATGTTGAGGAGTGGAAGCTGTCGAAATTTATGAGATTTCGAGTGAAAATCAACAGCCAGAACATCTTCTTAGACAACGGCAATGAAGCGAAAATCCCGAGTCACTTGGCACCCATGCCCATGCCCCATCACCCATCACCCATCCGCCCAGTTGGCCTCAATTCTTGGTCCCCAATCCGCAATCCGTAATCCGTAATCCGTAATAAGCTCTATCAATAGGCGGCCAAGTCAATAAGCGACCGAGAAGCTACGGCTCAGCCCAGGACTCAGTTCGGTTGAGTTGAGTGAAGGCAATTGCCGTCAAGTGCCAAATAAAGGCATAACTCGGCAGTCAGGACACGACATCCGACCTGCCCAAAAGGCACAGATATGGCCACGAAGATGAGGGAAAGGGACGGGCCGAAACTTAAGGCATAAAGATGGAAACTTGTAAATGGGCAAATAAAATGGAAATGAATATAATAAAGTCTCCGACGCGGAGCCTTCCGCCTTTCTTTCCCTAAGTGAAAAGCTGACAAGCAGCTTACGTAAAT